ATATCAAGTGCATCTGTCTTATCTCGTAAGTTTGTTATTTTAAAGAAAGTGAAGAAAATATCAAATTTTATGAAGCTCTGTTATCGCCAAAGCACACAGATTTTACAATACATAAAAATTCTCATGCTTTTGCAAGAATAAACTATAACATCACAATATTTAGTTTCTATATCTGTTGTCGTAGTTAGCAATAATCTAAGCCAATCGCAATAACATCATTTCTCACCTCACCAGAACTTTCTTCAAACTTATCGGCATTGAATAATGTTGATTTTTCAAGCAGCACTTTTCCGCAATTTTCTTCCCACAAGCGCGCTTTTCCTCTCACTCCATGTTTGCTTTAACTATCAGATTTAACCTAAGGAAACACTAAAAGGAATCTGTGACACCAAATCCAAGAAATAAATTTCAATTCCAGGTTTTTCACCTGTAAAAAGCGCTGTACATGATTTGTTTATTTAATGTTCCTTGCTATATAATATTTTCAAGAGAAAAGATTGTCTTAATCTTTTACATGTTTTCTTGAATATATGTGTGAGAGAAATTGTTCTGTGCAGGAAATCTACAATGAAGTCATAAGAGATCTGCTAAGTCCTTCCGGTGGAGTGCTCGATTTAATGGAGGACGAAAAAGGCAATATTCGTGTTCCAGGACTCTCCACAGTTCGAGCTCCAAATCTAACTAGGGTATGTGTAATGCATTTTCTTCCAAAGAGTAGTCATATCCTAGCAACTCGCATCAGAGATCATAAGAACAGCTCATTCCCTCTTTATTTTACATTTTCAAAACAACTTCGTACAGCTGTTGTAAAGAGTCGTAAACAATTTCTCTGAATGGCTTGGAAGTGTCTGATTTGCTCCATTCCACGGTTGAACGAACATTGTTATGATAGCTGCACAAACCATAAGAAGCTATGGATAACTAATTTATAAATCAAAGATCTTCTCTCTATTTCGAATTCATATGTTTTCTTTCTCCATTTCAAATACCACACTGGGACACTCAGCAGTTCGACAAAAAAGAAAGGAAGTAAATAAACGCGAAGACCTGTAAGGAACTTTTGTTCCGTAAATTAGGGTTTGAAAGAAGCTGTTCTGGTGAATAGAATTAAGTTGTTGTGATTCGCACAGACATTCTATATCTTATTTCAAATACGCGGCTTATCTTACGTACATGATAAGTTCATTTGCAGTATATAACGTATGTAGATATTAAGTTGAGATTGCAGCGCTATCATCCTTCATAAAGCAGAAACTTACCTTAAAACAGGCGTTCTATTAATTTCTCTGCAGGCCAGCGTGCTTTTATTTTTGCTTTTTCGCCTTAAAAAGGAATCAACTTTTACAACTGTAAAGGGTAATGTGTTTGGATGTAAATTTCTCAAAGTACTGAGAAATTTACATCCAAACACCTCGTATTACCCTTGAGAACTTCTAAAGTCATTGCTGATGGACTGGAAATTAAGCAATTTTCAAAAAAAGGCAAGAAAGAATAAAAATGAAGTTGGGTTATTTGATAGCGTATATTATTGGAAGCTAGGTATGAT